GACTGAACAAACTACTATTTCGCTTTGCAAACACATAGGGCAAGTTCTAGGCATCCAATGAAGTGCATAAAATACAACAATCCTCACACACACATGGCACATGACTCACTCCAGATTGGATCATCGAAACGCTCTAGTCAGAGTACTTAAGTCAAACTAAGAACATACAATTTAAGGCACTCTAATAAGAATAAAAAATTGAGCCTAAGCGTCACACTAAAGTATCTACTATATTCAAGGCATAATGACGATAAGGGATCCTCCTTCCATATCAGCCCTTAGCCCACAAGTACCTAATTAAAAATTAAAAAAAAACTAACTAACCCGGTTCAAACAAAAACCCTTGGAAAAGAACCGTGGTCAAAAGAAAAACCAAGGGGTAATTGATACACTACCTACAAAAGAAAATCTTTATTTTTATATCGACTTAGACCCTCAAGAAATCCGTCGAGTGATACCCGTCGTCGGGACAAGTCAAAAATATGAAATTTTCACACATTCACACATTTAGACTTCTAACCAAAAACCAAAATCAAACTAGCCAGAGACTATAATCAAATTAACCAAAGATCAAACTTGAATCAAGCTACATTCCTATATATACACAACATACTAAAGAAGTAACCCCCACCCCACACTTAAAAAGATGTCATGTCCTCATGTCATAAAATAGAAAGTAATGCGAGGCAAAGGAACTTCCCTGGAAGATCAGTCTTGATCACAGACCGTGCCAGGGTCTAAGTGACACGCCCTCCCCAGCGCACGCAACCAGCCCATGATTTTCTTCTCTGATTTAGCATTCTGGGTGGCCAAGGCATCAATTCTAGTCCCCAAGTCTGTGATGGTAGTACGCATCCCCGTCATTTCTTGCTCTAAGGCTGCCAGCCGTGTAACCCAGCCAACCTCGGACGGCCCTTCAGCTTTCGCAACATGCTCATGGGAGGGCGACTCAGCCTCCACTTCATCCTGCTCATCATCTCCCTCCTCGGATGCCTCAGAATCATCACTATCAGCTAAACTAGCTGCCACTGCCTCTTTCCCAATGGTCACCTTGGGAGCCCGGGACATTGTTTCTTTCTTCACCTTGCCGTCTACATGGGGGTTCTCTAATACCCCTACAGCCCGACACAATCGAGTGACCAGAGATGGGAAGAAGAACCCATACCTCCTCAGTGTTGAATGGATGAACATCTCCGAGTGAATAACCTTGGCCACATCAAAATCGTGGCCATTCATGAAGCACCATATCAAAGCAGCTCGCGGTTCATTGACTTCAGTGGTATTGTGGGATGGCAACAGTCGACTGTTGATGATGTACAACCAACACTTACCTTCAAAGGTGAGTAAGGAGGAGTGCAACTTCGATCCCTGAACAACCCACACTACCTCCTTGTCTGGTTTACAGATAGTTGGAAAAACAATTGCCAATTTGTGGGTTCTCGCTTTAAGTATCATAGTAATCCATATCCCCAGTAAATGCAGGCAAGCGATACACTCTCCTGATAGCTTCGATCGAGGCATTCACCCTCTTTTGTCCAACAATGCAAACGTGATCCTCATGTTCGGAACAGTTGGCGTAGAATTCCCTAACAAGGAACAAGTTACCATCCTTCGGCTCCTCGAAGAGGATGTCGAGCCTGCGCCTAGTCAGCTCCCTATACATATTGGGGCACTCAGCTTGGAGGGAACCCATGTCAACTCTCCGTTCTGGTACCGGCTTTCGAATACCCTTTTCACCGAAACGGTCTCGGGCAGCTCTGGAGACAAACCGGGTGCTATCAAACTGCCCTGAACTGGCTGATGCCCGTGCCCGGGATGAACCGCCGGTAGTGCGTCTCTTCTTTGAAGATCTCATTGTACCTACATAACAACCACTATTATTAAGAATCAGCGGAATAGGTGACCCAAGAGCGGTTACTCAGACTTCACGCGCCCCCTGGGTCACAATTTATACTAGAAAGTTCATTGGGGCAATTCAACAAACACCTCCTGTGCATATGCCCCACAATGTACCAAAGGACCCAATTAAACCCTCATTCCTCACAACTCAACAATGTTTCTCCAACCCAACCAACCCAATGTCCTCACATATCAACAATTATACCAACAAATACAACATAGATAAGAATACCTAGATTTATACTTTCTTATACCTATAATAGAAGAAACAAAGAATGAAAAGAAAAGAAAAGAAAATCGAAAAGAACAAAACAAAAGAAACTAAAAGAAGAGAGTAGAATCATGTACTTACTTGAGAACCTTGTGATGAACGGAGATGGAAGAGTGGGTGAGTAGAGAGTGGGGGAAGAGAAGGGAATTTGGTGAAGAAGGGGAGGAGGGATGCGTTTAGAAATTGGGGAAGGGGGAGGGTTAATTAAAGAAGAAAAAAAACTAATTAAAAAGGGGGTGAGGGGGGAAAGAAAATAATTTTTTTATACCTGACGTCGCCAGGTCCGCGGCCGCGGACAGAACATTTGCCAAATCCGCGGTCAGGTCCGCGGCCGCGGATTAGGCGTCCAAGTTTTTCTTTTTCTTTTTTATTTATTTTATTTTTTATGTTTGTGCCTACCTCCAGGATACTTACATAACCCCAACGAATACAACAAATCAATAGATTGCCTCCCATGAAGCGCCTGATTTAACGTCGCAGCACAACGCAGATAAGCGTATTTAAAGTACGCTCAACTGTGGAGGCTCGATCAAATGAGTTACTGACACTTCCTTTGCTTCCTCCATGCCCACATAATGTTTCAACCTATGCCCATTGACTTTAAACATGCGAGAGTCATTACTCGCAGCAATCTCTACAACACCTGTTGGGTGAATTGCAACCACGCGGAAAGGCCCTGACCATCGTGACTTCAATTTGCCCGGAAACAACCTCAGACGTGAGTTATATAGCAATACCGTATCTCCAGGTTTAAAATTCCACTCAATAATATTCTATCATGTATCATATTTATTCTCTCCTTGTATATCTTGTGCTCTCAAAAGCGTGATATCTAAACTCATCAAGCTCGTGCAACTCCGTTACTCTGCTTGTTCCTGCAGCTTCACTTTTAAGATTCAACTGTCTCAACGCCCACCAAGCTCTATGCTCCAACTCTACTGGTAAATGGCACGCTTTCCCAAACACCAACTTGTATGGCGACATGCCAATTGGAGTTTTGAAAGCGGTTCGATACGCCCAAAGTGCATCATCTAACTTCCTTGCCCAATCTATTCTAGTTGCATTCGCAGTTTTAGTCAGCACACTCTTTATTTCTCTATTCGAGACTTCCACTTGCCCGCTTGTTTGTGGATGATATGGGGTGGCCATTTTGTGGCGTACATCATACTTCTCCAACAAGTTTGTAAAGGCTCGATTGCAAAAGTGAGTGCCTCCGTCACTGATTATTGCCCTTGGGGTGCCAAATCGGGTGAAAATGTTCTTTCTCACAAAACCAATTACCCCCTTTGCATCATTTCTAGGGAGTGCTGCAGCTTCCACTCATTTGGATACGTAGTCCACAGCGACGAGTATGTACTTGTTGCCATATGAGCTGACGAACAGCCCCATGAAGTCGATCCCCCATACATCAAACACTTCTACCTCCTGAATTGGGTTCATGGGCATCTCATGTCCGCGGAAAATTTTCCCAGTTCGTTGGCATTCATCACAACCCTTTATCCATAGATGTGCATCTTTGAAAAGTGTTGGCCAGTAGAACCCCGACTCCTAGACTTTCGCAGCTGTCCTCACTCCCCCGAAGTGCCCACCATATGGGGATGCGTCACATGCCTGCAAAATAGAAGACTGGTCTATCTCGGGGATAGATCTCTGAATCATGTTATCAACACACTGAACAGATAAGGCTCATCCCAATAATACATGCAACATCACGAAAGAACTTTTTCTTTTGAACAGAGGAAAGGTCATAAGGAACAATACCGCTTGCCAGGTAGTTTGCAATGTCTGCATACCATGGTGCTTCCTCGAGACTCATGGCTAGTAGTTGTTCATCTGGAAAAGTTTCCAGAATCTCTTCTACCTCAACCTTCTTTTCAGCTCCTTCCAGCCTGGATAAATGTTCAGCTACTTGGTTCTCCGTTCCCTTTCGGTCACGGATCTCCAAATCAAATTCTTGTAGCAGCAGCACCCATCGAATCAGGTGCGGTTTTGACTCCTTCTTTTCAATTAAGTACCTGAGAGCAGCATGGTCAGTATAAACAATTACCTTTGAGCCTATCAGGTAAGACCTGAACTTGTCAAATGCGAACACCACTGCTAGCATCTCCTTCTCGGTTACAGTGTAATTTTGCTGGGCTCCACTCAACGTTCTACTTGCGTAGTATATTGGATGCATGTTTTATCTTTCCGCTGTCCAAGAACTGCACCCACAGAATAGTCACTAGCATCACACATCAGCTAAAACGGTTGCTCCTAGTTGGGGGCAACTATGATAGGTGTTGTTACCAGTCTCTTCTTTAATTCCTCAAAAGCTACCCTGCAGTCATCAAAAAACACAAAGGGTGATCTTTTTCAAGCAATTTACGCAAGGGGTTAGCAATTTTGGAAAAATCTTTTATAAATCTCCTATAGAATCCGGCGTGCCCAAGAAAACTTCTGATTGCTTTGACGAAGGTGGGTGATGGAAGCTTTTCTATCACATCAGCCTTTGCATGATCCACCTCAATACCTTTACTTGACACTAGGTGCCCCAAGACTTACCTTCCCGTACCATGAAATGACACTTTTCCCAGTTGAGTACTAGATTAGTCTCGATAGACCTTTTCAACACTCGCCTCAAGTTCAAAAGGCAATCATCGAATGAATTCCCCACCACTGAGAAGTCATCCAAGAAAACTGTGCATTGCATAGGCCAAACGGCATTCGCCGAAAAGCATAGATTCCATAAGGGCACGTGAACGATGTTTTCTCTCTATCCTTTGGGGCAATGGAAATCTGATTATACCCCGAGTACCCATCCAAGAAGCAAAAGTGAGACCTCCCTACCAATCTATCTAGCATCTGATCGATGAATGGCAGTGGGAAATGGTCCTTCCTGGTAGCCAAGTTCAACTTCTTGTAATCCGTACAGATTCGCCAACCTGTGACTGTTCGTGTAGAGATCAAGTTGTTCTTCTCATTTTTCACTGCCGTATACCTCCTTTTTTTTGGTACACACTGCACTGGGCTAACCCAGTTGCTATTAGAGATGGGGAATATGATTCCCGCATATAACCATTTAATTACTTCCTTTTTCACCACTTCTTTCATATTGGGGTTCAGCCTTCTTTGATGTTCTATGGAAGGTTTTTGCCCATCTTCCAGTAGAATCTTATGCATACAGAAGGCCGGGTTGATCCCCTTAATGTCTGCAATGGTTCACCCAATTGTAGTCTTGCATTCAGTTAGTACCTGCAAAAGTTGTTGTGCCTGCAGATCTAACAAACTAGCTGAGATAATAACAGGTAAAGTTGAGTCAGGTCCTAAGAATGCTTACCTGAGATGGGATGGTAGTGGCTTCAGTTCCAACTTTGGTGGCTCTTCTATTGACGGCTTAGCTGGAGGAATTTTTCTTTCCTCTAAGTGTAAAGGCTCAAATTCAAGATCCCTTTTCCAAAAACCTTGGTCTTCAAGAGCAAGTACCCACTCTGCCAAGTCTTCACCATTAGCTTCATCTAAGTTCACGAGACAAGCTGCTAGAGGGTCTTTAATGTTCAATGCTTCATCGTCCTCCTCCAACACTACATCCACCGCATATATTAGAGAGCAATTGGCAAATTCACTGGGTCTGTGCATAGATTTCTGCACGTTGAATGTTATCTCTTCATCGTTTAATCTCATTTTGAGCTCTCCAGTTTCACAATCAATTAAAGCTCTCCCAATGTCCAAGAATGGTCTTCCCAAAATTATGGGAATTTCCTCGTCAACCCGACAGTCAAGGATGACAAAATCTGCTGGGAACACAAACTTCCGAACCTGCACCAATACATCATCTAAAATCCCAGAGGGCCTCTTCACTGTTTGGTCAGCCAGCTGTAATAGCATAGACGTGGGTCTAGCTCTTCCAATGCCTAGCCTTTTGTAGATAGCTAGGGGAATAAGGTTTGTGCTTGCTCCCAGATCACACAGTGACTTAGCAAAAGCAAAGTTGCCTATTGTGCAAGGGATTGTGAAACTCCCCGGGTCAGACAACTTCTCAGCTATGGGTCTCGCCACAACAGCACTGCAGGTCTGAGTTAGTGTAACCGTGTCCAAGTCTTGAAAGTCGAATTTGCGGGACATCAGGTCCTTCATCATCTTTGCATAACAGACATATCCTTTAAAGCATCAATCAATGGAATGTTTACCTTAATTTGCTTCAACATCTCCAAAAATTTCTTGTACTGCTCATCTTTCTGACACTTGGCCAATCTCTGTGGGAATGGTGCTGGAGGTCGCTTCTTCCCTGTGATTTGGTTTTTCTCTTGTTCGGGCACTGCTTCTACTGTCGGTTCCGGTGCAGCCCCAGTCTCTTTCACAACCTCTTCTTCTTTGTTGGTGTTCTCTTGCGCAGTCTGTACCGTCACCTCAGTTAACCCTGCCGAATCATCTATCTCAATAGGTACTGGCACCAGTGTCTCAGTCAGTCTGCTTTCGCGAGCAATTTCTTGCTCCGGATCTAAGTCTCTACCATTTCGGAGACTCACTGCCATCAGTTGCTTTGGGCCCTGCTCTTTTGGATTGATTTGGTTATCTGCAGGTAACGTCCCATGAGGACGATTATTTAGGGCCATGGAAATCTGTCCTAATTGGATCTCAATATTCTTTATCGCTGACTCGTGTGAATCTACTTTGTCGGCTAGTTTTCCAGTGGACCCAATCACTTGCTGTATCATTCCCTCAAGTTTAGCAAACCCATCTTCCTGTCTCACAATCTGTTGTTGTGGGGGTTGTTGATAAGCCTGCTGCTGATTTAGCTGGTTGTATCCTTGTTGCCTTTGGTAAGGCACCATGCCCCTGTGATCGCATAGCCCCATGATTATTGTTGTTATTGTACTGCTACTGAGCTGGTCTGTATTGTTGATTCTGCTGACCCCAATTCTGACCACCTGGTCTTGGTCCCCGTAGTTGGCCACATAATTCATGTTCTCCTAATATTGTTGATTATCACCTTCAGCACTCCATGAGCAGACATATGGTTGATTAATGCATGATGTACATAGACCCCCATTGGTTGCATCAATTATGTGTACCTGCTGCTTCTGGCCTGATTCTTCAACCTTTTCGGTGAGGATGCTCATTTGTGTCATTAGAGTGGCCATATTTTCAGCTATGGAGTTGGCCGGGTCTAGAGCCACTAAGTAAACCACAGGAGTGATTGGAGCATTTCTTGTTGTCCATTCTGAGTTTTGTGCCATCTTGTCAAGTAGGATCTTGCTCTCTCTGAATGTCTTGCTCAAAAATGCTCCACCTGCTGAAGCATCAACATTGGCTTTCAAACTATCTGCCAGACCCATGTAAAATCTCTACCCCAACATCTGCTTTGGAATACCATGATGTGGACACGTAACCAGCAGACCCTTGAATCTCTCCCACGTTTTGTGTAGCCGCTCAGTTGGTTTCTGTTTGAAGCTCAATATCTCATCAATTTGCTGAGCAGTCTTATTGAGTGGATGAAATTTGCTCAAATATTGCTTGACTAATTCCTCCCAAGTAGTGATGGAGTTGATGGGGAGTGAATTAAGCCAAGTCTGAGCTGCTCCTATCACTGAGAATGGAAACAACAACAAACGTATTGCTTCCGGTGTCACGTTGTGTTGCCTCTGCGTGGCACAAATTGACAGGAAATTCTTTAGATGCTGCTGAGGATCTTCAACGTATGACCCAGAGAATAGTCCCTTGTTCTGCAATAAATGTAGCATGTTATTTGTGATCTGTAATGAATCTGCTTGTATCTGAGGGACTACAATAGCAGTTGCTAAGTTGTCAGCGGTGGGTTGTGCCCAATCATATAGTGCTACTTCTGGCACAAGAGGTGCCACACCCTGAGCGTTTAGGTCATTCACGTTGTCTCTGTTGTTTGGATTATCGTCTTCCATGTCTGGTTCAATGTTTTTGGTTGAGTTCTGTTGTTGTTTGCCTTTCCTGTTTGCACGATTCAATGCCTTGAAAACTTTCTCAGGATCTGATAATGCTTCGAGCAATTCACCAGTTCTTGGGGAGTTTCTAGGCATGCACCTGTAACAACCACGACTACAAACGTTAGAATTTCAATGGTCAGTTTAAATTGAAGAAAATTGACTACACTAAGAATTTTTGCACTTCTTTTCAACTGCAATCAATAACACCGTTAATTCCCCGGCGACGGCGCCAAAATTTGATCACGCTCAACTATGCCTTATAAAAAGGACAAAGCGGTCGCTGCTAATATATTCCGGTTAACAAGTCCGGAGTCGAATCACACATGGAATTAACCTATCGATCACAGCTATTGGACTAACAGAAATTCACGTATTCAATCTTCAGAGATATTTGAGTAACAAATTGGGTGTTTATTCACTAAATATTATGTAATAAAAATGCAGTAATTAAAAACTAGCTATAAACTGGTTGTAAGCAAGAATGAGAAAGGTCTAAGGTTCTGATGTCCCCTCTTGTCGGAATCCTTTCCGCTATGTTGCTATAAATTTGCCTAAGTCTTCTCTATCGATCATGAGCACTCTGACTGTCGTAACTCTCTTCCGAATAATTACAACAATATACTAGACATATTCTCCCGAATTACGCTAGCTGACCTTAGTTACAACTCACTTGAATCGCACCCAAGGTTTTATTATCCCTAATCCCACCTTTAAACCCTTCGTATTGATCCCTCATATACGTTAGAAGTGGTGTTGTTCAACAACTACCTAAATATACACTCTCTCCCGAGTAATGCATACTAAATAGGCACAGCCGATTTAGGGCCCTTCAATCAACAACAATCACAATATAATTGAACAAACAGAGAAAATATTAGGGCAAATCTATATTAACATAACGCAAAATTCATCCTCCAAGAGGTTCTATCAAAACCTTAGATTAGGATTTTAGCTACGCATAATCGTTTTCACAATCATAGCGATATAATTCATCCTCAATGATAAAAATAATAAGAAGAAAGGTAAAAACTCTATGCCGAATCTTCCGCCTTGCTTCTTGCCTTCAAAAATACTTCAAAAATCTCCATACCCTCTTTTTGGGCGAGCTGGGCTTCTTATAGGTCAAGGAGAGTCGTCCTAGAAATTACACAATTGCCCTTGCAATATTTGGCTCCGAGCACCCCGTCCGCGGCCGCGGATGGACCGCGGATTTGACACAAGTTCTATCCGCGGCCACGGATTGACCGCGGACCTGGGCGCGGATTTGGTCCTTGCTCTTTCTTCTCCTTTTCGACCGTGTTATCCTCCGATTGGCCTTCCATGCTCCATATTGACTCCAAAACACTCTTTTAGCTTCCTCCTAGCTCGGAATGGCTCCTGCAAAGCAATAAACTCATAATTAGAGCATTTTGTTATCTTTTACAATCAAACATAGATAAAGTGTGGCCAAATTAGAGTGTAAATATTAGGTAACTTGTATGATTATCATCTATTATCAAGGAGCTCACAATAAACTTGGCTAAGCTGCAAACAGTATGAAGACATCTCATAAGCTAGTTGAACTACAATTGTTATTTTTCAGTCCGTTTTAATTTGTACTATGACAGTCAATTTATAATTCAGTAGTTATTTGCTGTATTCCATTTTGGCTTGCTTTCATGTAAAGTCTCTCAAAATCTTCTAAGGGTTTAAGGCTTTAAAGCACTCTAGTACTTCAATTACTTATCATTTTGCACGCCCTGCCCTGCGCTGCCCCACCCCATTTAGATTTTGTCCTGTCCTGCTCCATTAAAAGTTTTCCCTGCCCGGCCCTACCCCACCCCGCCCCAATTACCATCGTTAAGTGATAACTTCGGAAGAGAATGACATCATATGAACATAGTTTCACGCTCATAAGGAGGCTTGAAAGCGGATTCAGGTTGGTATCGTGATAGGGTAATCAAGAAAACCGAGTCGGAAAAAGGATTCAGGGGTGGGATGCCAGGGGGCTTGCGTCGTGAACCCTGGAGACATCCCAACCCTTAGGGACTGAAATGGGAGGCAGTGAAATCCTCCATCCACTATTGGAAGATTCATGATTATGCATATGCTAGCAGATCTAAGCTTACAACTCCATCTCAAGCAAGTCAATTTTTTTTTTCTTCCTGTTTTCATGCTTTCTATATAGATATATTATTTGATAAGGTTATCTTTACAATTGTATTAGTAGGTAGAAGAGCATTATCTTTATGATTCTGATAAAGTCAGAAGGCAAGTTGCTGCTGCCACACAAAGGTTTAAAGAAGGTACTCTGGTGTATATTTTTGTAAGGTCATATTTAGACATGTATGCAGTTGTGCCATTGTATTTCAAAAGCATGTCATGCCATTTGACTTTACTAAGCTCCATTTCTTAGCTGTTGTGTCTGAAGTGAATTACCGATCCTGGATGGTATCTTTGCTGCAGTTAAGGATGACATTGATTGCTATCCACATTCATCAAAGAGTATGTACTCTAGCTCTACTCGCCAAATAATCTAGCATACTTAATGACAAATAGGTGGAACAACTTGGTTTCACGAGGTTCATGAAGTGAGAAGGATGCTGTCTACGTCTCAAGATTATGAAATAGTGGTGCAGTTTTGGTTGGAAAGACAAATATGCATGAATTGGGCCTTGGAACAACTGGAAATAATGCGAAATTTGGGTGAGTTTAGCTTACAAGCTGTAAATAATAGACAAAAAATGCTCGCAGTTCATATTAAGTAAATCATGATACTAACGTTGATAATTTAATCAAGTCATACATTTGGTCAATATTAAATTAAGTAGAAAATCTGGGGAATTTTTTTCCATGAAGACAAACCCTAATAATTCCATAGAATTGTATCCTTTTGAATGTACAGACTATACCTAAAGCTACGTAGATGAACTCTTAACAGTTTTGCACTATTTACTTTTCAACTCTGTTTAGTAATATTTTTTCATTATTAACAATAGTACACGGGCGGGTCTTCCTGATACACACCGATTAGCGCTTGACGAGGATGATTTTCAAGTCAACATCATAGCATTAGAGTGCTCTATATAGGTCAAGATTAAGCATGTCTATATTAACAATTTGGCTATTTAGGCTAGCTTTGTAATTTGGCTCTACTTAGTTTCCTTACTAGCTTAAGGGTATTTTAGTCAATCCAAGTACCACCCTAGTATAAATAATTGAGAGAAAATTTACAATGAATTGGCAAATAACTCAAGAGGTTTTAGGGAATCTTACATCTTACTTTCTCTTTATTTTATCATATTTTCTAGATTATTCTATGTTAGGTTAATCTTGTATGTGTTCATCTTCATACTCTTGGGTTATCTTTTGTATTTTAATGTTAATTCGTTATTCTATGTAATATAGTTACTAAGTGCTTTGAGTTACATTCTTTTACTTAGCTCAATCCGCATTACTTGTTCTTGTTCTTCCTTGACTAGTATTCATCATAGGAATTTTAAGGGGTTTAACTAGTTCATAGTTAAATTCTTGCCTTTTTCGATTTTAATCCCTAATCTTTTATCTTTTGATTCTGTGTACTTTTGCAATATCCGTATTTTCAGACCCGAGGTTAATGATTTATTCTATCAATCCTTGGGTCTTTCTTTTGTGTATCATCAAATCTGAAAATAAAAAAAGGAATAAAAAAATGAAAAATCCTTCCAAAAAGGAATAGAGAAACTCTTCGGACTACGAAATATGTGTTTTACAACCCTGAGGTAAGCCCGCAAAGGAACATAACTTTTCCATCAATAATTAAACATTACGCCAAATCTCTAAGTAATGAAGCTCGGTCTAACATAATCTCTAATCAAAACTTTACTTATTAATACAAGCAACTAAACTAACAAGTCGAGTTCAAATAGTACAAGTATCTTATAACAAAGTCCTATGTCTACCCGGACATAACATAATTTTTAGCTACGTACGGACTATCGTCACTTCGTGCATATGTTGCATCCACAAATTAGTAGCAAATATCAAATTAAACACCTATGAGGTTAATTTCCTCTTACAAGGTTAGGCAAGAGACTTACCTCATTTTTAAGTCCTCTTCCCGGCTCACAAATCACACAATTAGCTCCAAATCGGTGCTGAGCAATTCGAAACTAGCCAAAGGTCGTAGAAACTGATCAATATATGCTCAAAAGTTCATTATTTAACTATTAGAGTAATTACCCAACCCAATTTGGATGGTTCCTACAATTCACCCCCGGGCCCATGTGCCTGGATTTTTTAAATAAATGTTACCCATAACCTCACGAACACAAATATATAATTTTTACTCAATTCCATAATTATTTTCGTGGTCTAATCTCATTTTACCTTAATCCAGTTTTTCAATAAAATCCTAT